GAGGAGGCGGAGGAGGAGGAGGGGGAAGAGGAAGAGGAGGAGGAGGAAGAAGAAGAGGTGGAGCTCGCGGCGGCGCCATGCACACCAACGTCAACGTGGAGCGCAACTCGTGGCGGCTGCCGCCCGACGAGACGGTCCAGGTGGCCGATCCGCGCTCCAAGAGCGTCGAGGTGAGTACCCCGCCCACCGGGCGCACGGCGCTTCTTGTTCCCTCTTTGCCTCCCCTTCACACGCACGGTTCTCGTCCTTCGCCTGCTTCTTGGCGTTCGCGCCTTCCTCACTAATGCGCCCGTTTCCGTTGCTGTTGCTCGTGTCTCACCTCTTTCTGCTCCTCACCTGCCCTTCTTCATCCTCTCCCTCCTCAGCCTCCCTCTCCTTCGCCTCAAACTCATCCTTAACCTCAGTACCACCCTCCTCCTTCTCAACCTTCGCATCCCCAGCTTCCTTCTTCCACAATATCACTCTCCTCCCCACTTCCTTATTATCATTCTCCTTATCCTTAACCTCAACCTCTGTCTCCTCCTCCTTGACTATCTTCACATATTCCTTCGCTACCTCCCCCTTCTCCTCAATCCACCCTCCTCAACCCCCTTTTCATTCTCAATATCCCCCTCCTCAACCTACTTCTCAACTGTCGTCCCTCTCTTCCTCCTTCCCGCATTTTTTACCTTTTCACCCTTATCATTTTCTTAATTTTTTTCCGTTACTTGTTTTTCCTTTTCATCTTTTTTCTTCTTTATTTCATACTCTTTTGTAGATGTATGTATTCAATTAGAAACGTGACTCTTTGTTTTCAGAAACAACCATAAATTTGTAAATAATGAAGTAAATAGTACTGACTATATTATTCATGAAATTAAGACCAATAGTGTTAAAAGATTGCATACGGTATTAGCAAATTATTACAGTAATTCTCAAAACAAATGTCAGTTTTCTTTACAGATTTTAATTATTACCACCTTCTTAGAGTTCAATCCTAAGCTCCATCATAAGCGATTCCTCTACCTTAGAAGGCGGGATGTAACGATCCCCATGCCGACGTGCAATAAAGCGCATTTCTGCATTATCGCAATCAAGCAGTTCTAAACTAAAAAAAATTGCGAAATGATTTGGTGATACGTCAGAGAAATAGGCGATATTACCCGGCGGGACACTCTAAAGAATATCAATAAAGGTAGAAATTATGTTTGAAAACATTTCAAACATATTTGGAAGGTCGGCATCCATTTTTTTTGGAAAAAGATACAGCAATTCAAGAAATGTCAATAATTTTTAAGGAAATGAAATGAAATAAACCCATATATTTCGTGATTTTGTTGCGTACGTTTTATTTTTATTCATATTGTCTGTATTAATCCTTTCTTGTAGAGTATAAACAAGCAAATTGTAACCTAAAATAAATATATACCGCTTCGCAACTGGAGGGTTTACCGATAATATCCAAAATTCTTGAAATTACCTATGATAGCAACCTACACTACATTTTCTTTCAAGCCACGCAGAAGTCATTTAAGCAATCATTTAAGCAAACCATTTTGATTCGGAGTATAGAAATGTAATTTTTAAAGAAGTTTGTATTTAAATAACCCACTCACCATACTACCAAAACAAACAAAAAAAATGTTAAATGTCAATCACGTCAATGAAAATACAGATGTCCTTTTGGCCAGTTTAATACTTTAGAAATAAAATACTCTTGAAAAATGTAATGTGAAAAATAAGCTAATTAAAACAGAGGGCGACTTTCAGAGCACTTTCAAGAGTTCTTTTATGAAAAGTTTTTTTCAATAGTTATGCCTTGCCTTTCGTGGCGGTTAAATGTGAGGTTTTATTGTAAGACATTCTGTCGTTTACAAGTAGAAGCTGCATTCTTCTGAGAGTGAACAGTAGCTAGGAATATTTGTTTCTGCAATTGTTACCATCGTAAATAGTCAACAACGAGCAGTTAAGCATTTTCTAATTGTCATATTGGGATACTTTAGAAATCAAAAATGACTTTCGCAAAGGTGCGTAATAATGATATATTTGCAAGTCACAAAACGCAAGTGTCTGAGAGAAAAATTACTTCGCATTCCGCAACTTTCGACTCTACGAAAATAACAAAATGTGACTTCTTGATAAACACGACGGGTGTCTTTTATCTGATAAAGTCTATCATTTGAAAATAAGAAGCACTTCATAATAAACCTTGCACTTTGCCGAAGTTTGACAAAGTAACATAATCTTGATAATGTCAAAGCGTAAGCAATGATTTTTTAGAGTCTTCGTAAATAAATCAAAACGTCTCTACCTACAGAAATATTTAAATATATTTCTGGCATCGACACAACTTTGCACTGTGAACGTAAGGAAAACAGTGCGGATAAAAGATCACATCTACATTACTAATTTCCAATTGAAAGAAAAAGGGTGAGGTGAAACTGAAAGAAAACTATTCAGCTTTCAATCATGAGCTGTTATGGTGTACGCAGAACTCGGTAGGTATCCAGAACTCGGTAGGTACCCAGAACTCGGTAGGTACCCAAAACTCGGTAGGTACCCAAAACTCGGTAGGTACCCAAAACTCGGTAGGTACCCAGAACTCGGTAGGTACCCAGAACTCGGTAGGTACCCAGAACTCGGTAGGTACCCAGAACTCGAAAAAGTAGTAGAACCATGAAACATTTTCGATTTTGACGAAAAAATGCAAATATTATGTTGTGTTATTATATTTTCGTACAGTCGTACAGTGCGTACCGTCTGATACCAATGCGTCACTGCTTTGACACAGCTATCATGCGATAGTAATATTGCAAGGGAGATGCCATTCGCCAATAAATATTTCACGAGTAGTGTAATAGAAAATTTCTTGATACTGTTGACACATAAAGAACCGATACATGGTTATTGCAATATAAGTGAAGGTTGATTGGGTTAAAACAAATAATTTACTGCAGTACTATGAGAGGGTGTTTTATTTTATATTCGTAAGTAGTGTGCGTGCTATTTTTTGGAAAACCATTTTGTAAGAAGTGGTTTCGTTTAGCAACATATTTCCTGTTGCGGGCCAATAGTTACAAAATACTTCAATACTTGTTACGGAGGATAGTACGAGTACTATGAAAAATGAAACAGGAACTTCTAAATAGATAGGAGCAACTACCTCGTAGAGCAAATTCCTTCACAACCCGAAAAAATTCGTGTGCATGATGCTTTTCGAAAAAAAGAACATATTGTGTAGTTTGTTCAGCAGCATTTTGCTGCTGCAGGCCACCAGTCGCCCTTAATTCCCATTCCTGCGTTCGTCACTTGTTGGAATTAACCGCGATGTGTGGCGCATGCCGCGGGAGGCGTCAGCACGAAGTGGTGCCTCCGGCTGCGCGCAGCGGGGGCGGGGCGGCGTGGGGATGGGTAGGACGGGGCGGGCTGGCGCCTGGAGGGGCGAGACGGACCGGGACAGGGCGGGGAGAGGCGGCGCGGGGCGAGGCGGGGCGGAGCGAGG